GTGGTGGCGATTTTACACATTAATTAGTGGTACGGTAAAAAAACACGCCCCCGGACCCCCCTAGTTCCCCCTCCCCCTCCCCCTTCCCCTCCCCTCCCCCCTGTTTGAATTTCATCCTAGGGAGAACCCTGACTTTGTGTATACATATATATGTACCTCGGGTACATATCTGTAGTACCTGATACGACAACGACCCCTTGAGTGTCACTGATGCTGATAGGGTCTATGTCCCCCAGGTTACTGCCAAAACGTACCCTGGGTACGGTTCGGTATACCGGAACGTACCTTGGTAACTATCTAGCTGATATGGTTAGGGTTAGGGTTAGAGTTAGGGTTAGGGAGTATGCGTAAGCGACTCCCTAGACTCGTTAGTGGAGTAGGCGAGGCACGGTCCGGCATATTAGATAGTAGTATTTAGTACCAGGGTATGTTCCAGTATACCAGACCGTTACGTACCCATGGTACGTTGCAGCAGTACCCTGGGGGACATATAGACCCTATCAGCGTCACTGATTAGGCCGCCTACTGTTACTGATACTAAATAAACACTAATTATATTGTAATGGTGGTAAAATGCGTCTTCGGTACAATCAGCAATCAGAGAAGATCCAAGGCATCAAGTATGATGTATAAAATATACATTAGAGGTTTTATTCTACGTACACACATGTGTATAATACGGTACTAGATACCCTACATAGCACAGCCTGTATAATCAACTGCAAACTCTGACTGCCGAACGCACGTCACACATTGCCTCACTCGCGCTCTGTCTTTCCCTCTAGCCTCCTCTCTCTCTCTCCCTCTCTCTCTCTCTCTCTAGCTGGCACTTTTAAGAGAGATACACCTTTCATCCGTGTCGATCGGTGTCGCAGTTCTACCTTCAGCCACAGCCTTCGGTGTATGAGTTGATGGTGTTGGTTCGTCACTTGAGTGGATGTAACATGAGAGATTACTGCATATCGTTTACCAATTTATGTTCCAGAGTTTGCAATAGCTGAAGGAGTCCACATCTACAGCCATTAAGCGTCTACTCGGACACATGTTTGGGCGATGTCGCTGTATGACGGTTTAGAGTTGGACACGAAAAGCAGTAGTAAGGATGTCGGTATGGGACGCTCTTTCTTTCTTTTACTTGTTCATAAGTTATAATACGATATATGTATACATATGTGCGAGAACCAATTTCCAATTATTCTGTGATAGAGAATATAATTAAACGTTGTTGATCCCGTGATGCTGCTATTGCGTGATTTTCACTTTTTTACTAGAGTTGCTCCATCCTTTTCCTTGCTTTAAAATTTTCTGGCATTTCAAGCTTTTAGAGGTTCTTCCTTTTTAACATCATAACATTTTAATATGCAATGGCAGTATAGTGTTAGCAGGAGCGTATAATGACAAAGCGCATGACGGAGCGTATTTGTCATTATACGCTCCTGGTGTTAGTAAAACGTCACTGCTAAATGTACTACCAGAACTACATTAAACATCGTCACCAGTTTACCACAACCACTATCCGCATTACCACCACAATCCCCTCCACCATCGTAGAAATATTTCAAATGTAGTTGATTTGGTAGGTTTAGCCTTGACCAGAGGTAGAACTATTGACTCGCATATTTTCACACATATACTTTATAAAATTAGTAAATCTGATTTCTGAATGCTTGTGCTGCTACTTCAGCTGGTTGGTCATCAAGCATCAAGCTGCTACAGTCTCATCTACAGGTCAAGAAAAATGTTCTTACACAAGCCAAGGTGAGTTGAAATCAAGCTCTCCATTATGCAGAGAAGTCGTTAAGAAATCTGTGTTATCGTCAGGGCGATACATAGATTTTCTTCTTCATTAACAGTAAGAAATCTGTAGTCCCACCAGCATTGTTGGTTATGCTAATATAAAGTCTTGGTCATCTCTGGCACTACATTGTCAATTTTATGTTGCAGAAAGAAAAGGAGAGGCAGAGCAAAGCGGTTACCCTAGCACCGGTTGTTGATCTGTCACGCCAGAACTCTCAGCCGGATCCAGACATTGACATTCTTCCACCTTTGCAGCTGTCATTCAACCAGGTCTGTGTCTTATCTGATCTGCTAGGAGTCAATTCCCCAGTAGAATTTCTAATTCCCAACCCTGAGCTTGTTGATGTAGTATGGCGATACATATTTAGTATTACATATATTATATACAAGTTATTATATTGGCATCATGCCGTCAGTGTTCCAACTGCAATAGCCTGAAAGCTATATCATACTTCGTATATTGTAGTGGGCAGGGTTTCTTCTGAGGGAAAATTAGACAAAGGAGGTAATGGTCAGGGGTGTGTGGGTTGTATTTCTTATTGGAGCCATAACCCACGAGAAGTTGTAGTGAGTTGAAGCAACCCCGCAAGCTTCATTGGTTCAAGAAATTTGTTTGACTGTGCGTCCATTCGGGGGATTAGTGTCACGTGTGTAGTGTTTCTGTCGGCGAAGATGCTTGCGTGAACTGTAGTGCGTTGTCGCTGTTTAGGAGGCACGTGGCTTGATGTGTGCGGCGTCCGAGGACAGTCTGGACGTTGCTAACGAGTATGATCCGCTCTGGCCTAACGACTATGAGAAGCTGGTGAAGGAGAGGAAGGAGAATCGAGAGAGGGCGCGAGAGGAGGACCTTCGGAAGCGGGAAATGGACGAAAGAGACAGGTGCAAAACGAATTCCGTTTTTCTTTGCGTCGACGCGGGAGACTGGTTGCAATTTATTAGACACAGTTTTGGGTATCGCAACTACAGAGGTGTACATTCTGCGTAAATGAGAAGGTGAAATATGTTAAGCGTGTGTTAGTCTATGGCTTATGTTGGTATGGGTATGTTCGCAGACCTGTATATGCATCATGTAAAATTCTTTTCAGTAGAAGACGGAGAGACCGCTACGATAGGAACGAGACTAGAAGTGACCGGAGAGAGCGAGATTTCTCCCCTCCGCGGGAGCGAGACGGTTTCAGCAGGAGGCGGGACGAAGAAGAGGACTATGATCGAGAGAGACCCTCGCGGGCGGGTGGAGGAGCTGCCATCGCACCTCCTCCCTCCCTGGTGGAGGATGTCAAATGTAAGGGTGTATTACTGTCAAAATGGCTGTGGACCTGTGTGACCTACATGTTTAGCGCGTAGTCAGACTGTGGTTGTGCTATCACATTGATGTTCCATGAGTGGCACAATGTAATTGGTGTCTCCTCTGATGTTTACGTTTGCCACATAGAGTTGTGGTCTGAAAAGCTATCCTGAATTTTAAAAATAGATGTCGGTAATCAAAGGGTAAATTTAAGGGTATGTAAGTGGAGTTCATTCATGGTTAGTAGCAGCAGCAGCAACAGTAGCAGTAACAGCAGTAGCATCAGCAGCATCAGCAGCAGCAGCATGAGTAGTAGCAGCAGCAGCAGTAGCAGCATGAGTAGCAGTAGCAGCGGCAGCAACAATAGCAGTAGCAGCATGAGTAGCAGTAGCAGCGGCAGCAACAATAGCAGTAGCAGCATGAGTAGCAGTAGCAGCGGCAGCAACAATAGCAGTAACAGCAGCAGCAGCAGCAGCAAAAGCACCACCAGCAACAGTAGCAGCAGCAGCAGCAGTAACAGCAGCAACAGTAGCAGCAGTAGTGACAGCAGCAACAGCAGCAGCAGTGACAGCAGCAGCAGCAGCAGCAGTAGCAACAGCAGCAGCAGTGACAGCAGCCATAGCAGCAGAAGTGGCAGCAGCAGTAACAGCAGCAACAGCAGCAGCAGTGACAGCAGCAGCAGCAGCAGTGACAACAGCAGCAGCAACAGCAGTGACAGTAGCAGCAGCAACAGTAGCAGCAGTGACAGCAGCAGCAACAGCAGCAGCAGTAGCAGCGACAGCAGCAGCAACAGCAGCAGCAGTAGCAGCGACAGCAGCAGCAGCAGCAGCACCACCAGCAGCAGCAGTGACAGCAGCATATGTGTTAACATGAAGCTTCTTGTTTAGCTTCTGCCGGAGCGATGGCAGACGATACGAGATCTGGCGGCAAGGTGGCGCCCTTGTTAGGCATGCTAGGGTAAGTACTGTATAAGCTGTATATTTCGCGGTGGTTTAATTTTTCGCGAATTTTCGCGAACGCGTCCCAGACTGCAAAAATAACAACACGCAAATAATTCAAACTGAATAATACCGAATAATTCACAATTCACTGACCGCAAAATTAACCACTCGCGAAATTGTCCGTCAAGTCTGAATTCGCGAAAATATCTGTACGCGAAAAACGTGGCGTATACACTATACAGTATGCCTATAGCTCTTTAGTGCGCGCGCAGCTTTAGTGCTGCGTGACAAAAGGTATGGGTAAACTGAATTAAATGTGGCAAACACTTTCTATGAGGTTCTATGAGGTTCTATGAGGTTCTATGAGGTTATGAGGTTTCAGGTTATACAGAATGATATCTGCACTATCTGCACAATAGCATTATATTATCTAAGTGCCAAACTTTGTGGTGTGTTCAACTGTATGTATACGACTAGGACTACGACTTTAAATAAGCATAATACGAAGACGTAAGGTCGAGACTGTGCGTAAGACGTGTCGGCTTCTGCTTCAGGGGTTCTGTGGCGGCCCGCATCATGGCCAAGTATGGGTTTCGTGAGGGCCAAGGTCTGGGCAAGCAGGAGCAGGGCATGAGCCAGGCCCTGCAGGTGGAGAAGACTAGCAAGCGTGGTGGCAAGATCATTCACGAGCGAGACATACCCAAAGGTAAGCACTAAGCCGCGGTGTGTCTCTAACTGCTAAGCTAGCTGTAAATTTTTTTCAATGTGTTTGCGCGTTTCGAGCTCCTAGCAAAGCGAGCACCGCAAGTGCTGGGGTAGTCCGGGGTACATGCGCCCCGGAAAATCATTGAAAAAATGGTGCAGTTTGGTGCATTCTAAGCTATTCTGAACACATTGTATGAGATTTTCGTCAGCGAGGCGGTGTTTTGGACAAATTTCTGTGTGGCGGCTGAGAATTTGAGTAAGGCGGCCCACCTCGCTCGTGTCAATGTAGGGGAAACACTGTATCCTGACAAGCTGAATGGATCGAATATTTGTTTCTAACTATGTAATAAGATGTACAGTCAAACCTCGGTTAATTTCAGCAACCTTCCACCCGCCCCCTCCCCCCCAGCTGCTCCCCCACCACCACCACGTTACGCACTGCCCTACGCATATCGCATGATAACATGTTAATCCTAAGGCGAAGCTCATTAAAGTTACACAGCTGTATTTTATTAATACATCTCTAAGATCATATTATTTTTTAAAGCAGTCTGTATTAGCACGCCTGATGTAAGCACATGTAATGAACTGCTTGATGCTCGCGTGGGTAGGCAAAGAACACTGGGGGCAGCCCATTTACGCATGCCATGGGGGTGACACTGCCAGCTATTCTACATCTTAATATGCCTGTCAACACTGCAATGCGCAGATTTAACGCTCCAGCTGAGCAGAATTCTTGACGCCTGAATATACTTGGATTTCAGGCAACTCAATGGAGTGAGGTTATGCAGCCACGAAGGGTAGCCGATCTTGATTATTGATGACACTTGGCACGCCCATCTCGCGTCAACTGCTTTTGCTATTAGAGGCCAAACCAATCACTATCCGAACATAATCTCCCCCGCCGTCTCGTTCGGTAGAATTCGATGGTCTTAGCATGTTAGTAAGTCAGTTACATAGAACCATGAATGTCAATGACAACTGAGCGTGGGTGCTGTTTCAGCACCGTTCAATGCTAACGCACCCTCATGACGAGCGAGTACCTCTGGAGATGACGGCAGAAATCCATCAGCAGGTTTATGAGGACCCCTCATAAAGTCCGTTCTGCGCTGAAGGTGATCTATTCTGGCATATTTAGACGGCTTTCTCGACTTCCGCGGGTGAATTGAAATGTTGATTTGCCGGTAATGTCTCCACGGTTGCCAATTCTACTGTACCACAGGTACGTTTGTGTGATGGCAGAGACGTAGTATCTGTGAGAAACTTGCCTGACGTGCTCCCTCAGTTTACTATATCGGAGTCTTCAGATTTATAGTACATAATTCAGAATTAGAGCATTCATTATAACAGAATACTAATAATCACAAATGCACAAATGTAAGAATAAAAATATCAAAAATGTAAAAAAAATAAAAAAGTTCTCCGATTATTTACTCCATGATTTTAACAATAAACGGACCAAGCACATAAAAAATAAGACACAACATGGAGCCTAGTATGATTTAGATTTGAAAGCATGAGACAGGAATGTTCATAGTACTTTGCATTCCTTATACTGGGAATTGATACAGTGACTGCATGCAAACCATGTATCCTTTTGGTGTCCCATTGTGCTTAACGGTAGCACATATATAATTGTTAGCATCACGAACCAGCCACCAAATGATAGCATGTACTATAAATAATCTCGTTAATACGCATATTGGATTGATAAGGTTGGTGTGGTTGCAGAATATTGTAGGACGCCGGGTAAAGTGTGAATAAATTGGAACCAGACAACAGCGAAGAACGGCGGCCAAATATGGCAACACGTGATCCACAGTGTTTAATTTTTGAAGGTATTACGATCAGTATAGATCTACTAGAGTTTTATGTGAAGAATTGGGAAATATGGGGAGTGAGCAATAGAGATGCAGGCGGCTGAAATTGCACCTGGCCCACCGCATAATGCTGTGCTAAAAAAAATTATTTGGATGGTCGTAGATATTGCAAATGAACCCGGCCCCGGTTTCAGCGCAATGTTAGCCGAGTGCGTACATTTTTTAACATCGTCTAGAGAAGCTCAGATGGGCAGCCTTGTTTTATGAAATCGTCATGATTGTCCACGTGCGTCCATGCGTGCGTACGTCGCGTGTCTGTCAACAGTTGGGGCCAAATCTTAACCGCATCGAGCGTACGGTGCGATATTTCAGAGACGTGTGGGGGGGGGGGAGTTGGAAAAGGCTCGGGATAGACGCAATTTGGGGTCAAGGTCAAAGGTCCAAGATGTGTCAACGGAGGGGATATATTTCCCCTAACTAGGATAGGACGGCAAATAGGAATCTGGCGGCACCCAAATCTGAACCGCTCCGAATCAGCTAATGCTCTTAATAATTCCGTGTATAGTGTGATGGCAGAGAAACCCATCAGCGAGTGCGACATTGAGTCACAGGTCAAAGGGGCAGTGGGGACAAGGTCAGAATTCAGACTTTTGCTGAGGAACATGGCCTGAATGGAAGAGAGTGAAAAAAATTTTGTTTCAGCACTGACGCTACCATTTTTATCACTTTATTGAAAGAAAATGTGCTTTCCACTGACGTGGCGAAGAAGTAAGTGTCTGATAACCGTTTTGACACGCTTAAGAGGAGGGTTTAAACAATGGGAGTTGTTGACTGTTAACAAGGACAAACTGCTCTTTTGCTATTATTAAGAGCCCATACCTGTTTAGATGTGAGTCTACATTGCAGTCAATTGCGAAGACAAAAGTTTGTTTGAACCAAGATTTACACTCGTTAAACATATTACTATTTCTAAAGGCAGTCTGTATCTAATAGCACCCTGAATGCTCGCGAGTGGCTACCGTCATCCGAATTGTAGGCAAAATCCGGTGAGCAACCCATTCTCATGGCAGGGAGGTGAACTGGCACTTTTGCGAATTAACATGCACACACTGCAATGCAGATGTTTTAATTTATTACTACAGCTGAGTTGGAATTGTCAGCTGCTGAATATAGCTTGATTTAGCCTGTAAATTTCAGCACACTCATATGGAATTCAGGTTATCTCTCTACTTTCTTGACTTATCACCAATGCACCGACAGGGCGATGCCCCTATCTTTTGATTATTGATTACACTTGCACAGCGCCATCTCGCGGGCAACTATACACCTAGTGACTACATTATGACAACAATATTATAAACACGTCGAGCAGGTAGAAGTGACGGATGCATTGTTAGGGTTTAGTCTTAGTGTTAATACCTATGCTACACAGTTTGATGATGACCGTATGCCGTTTAGCGATTAGAACAAGGCCATTCAACCTTTTGCCAGAAATGACGGCCAATTACAAGTAAAGGCAGGCAGACCTCAGATGGAGCACTGCGCTCAATAGCCGGCACTGTGTCTATTTATACGCATTAATTCGAGCAAATAGCCTACATTACTATTTTAGCCTGAAGGATATCACACCCAATCTCAATTTATCAACATTTTTTACAAAATTTGAAATAACAGAATGCGAACGTGAAACATGACATTAGATTTTACAGAAAAAATTTGTGAGGGCTGGTAAATTATGGTGAGGGCTTGGTAAAAATTGGCCATACACCCTCTGTGCCGTTGCACAAAATCTGAATTTTGTGTGCCTGGAGAGGTTGTGGAGTATTTATACAGAACAGCATGAGGGAAGTGTTCTCTCAGCTCTCTCACGGGTGGCCAAAATTAAGCAGGGAGTCCGAGTTAAATACATCCCCGATTTACTGTCGACTCCGCTGATTGACATAGCAGGAGTCCGTGGACTCCCTGAAAACTTCTGCCATACTTACTAGTTCGTTCCAGAGCACGGCCTCGTGAAATACCGTATTTTCAGGCTATGTCCAAAAAAATGTTTGACAGTCTTAAAGCACATGCGTTAAATTCTTAAATATCTTTAAATATTTGAACCTCAGACTGCGGACTCCCTCTTTTTGAGGGTAGAGAGTCCGTTGGACTCCCGTGTTCAAAAGTTAATTTCTACCCCTACTCTCTCATGCATATCTTGTAGATTCCCAACACAACGGATGACGAAGCGGTGCGGATATTTCTGGAATTTGAACGGATCGAGTCTGCAACCAAAGGTAGCTGCCACTTGCTGTTAATGTGATGTGTCGTCCTTTATTCATTGGAGCATCCCACGTCTGCATTACTTTACTTAAAAACTACTTAAAAGAGCATTGGAACCACAAAAAACCTCCTCGAGTGAAACCCGTGTTGTACTTTTCCTTCTAGCATGTTCTTGTTTCGTTAAATCCACACATCTTCCCTAGCTGATTTTCATCTTCATGTTCCTGTTTCCCCTGTCAGTTCCAGGTGAGGGTTTATCTCGTGTTAGTGGGTGGTGTTTGCGTTGCAAAACGTGTTGCTGGATTGAAAATGCACGTCGAGTAGTCGCATATCTTAAACAATAGTATAAAATAAAGTGTGTCATAAGCTGCGACAGGGTTTCCCTCGAGCGTTCTGAAAGTTGACAAATGTGACGTGTGGTTGTGTATTCTATTTTGATGTATGCTTAAATCCATTAACAAATAAAAGCAGCGTAACAACAGAGACCCGTTTTTTAATTGGCCGTGGCTACGCGTCCGGTTATCGGACGCCCAGCTCCCAGGCTACGTGTCCGGTCATATATTTCTTATGTGAACCCAACTATATTTTTTTAGTAAAAAAACAATAAACAGCAAGTTTTTACCATAATACTACTTACCTTTAGGTATTTCATCAAAAAAATGTGTATTTGTAACTTTTGAAGCAATAGTAAATCCAGTAAAATTAACGATTTGAAAGGGGGATTTGGGAATCTGTACTGAGCTTTGTAATGGATGACCGGACGCGTAGCCGTTGCGTTTTTAATAACTAACATCTTCACGTGTGACGCCCACGTTAATGTTGCATGGTACATGTTTTACAGCTGTCATCGACCTGAACGGGCGATTTTTCGGCGGCCGCGTCGTCAAGGCTGGCTTCTACAACCTCGACAAGTTCCGTGCATTCAAGCTAACCGAATGAGACAACGCCTCATTCCAGCTACACGTGTAAATACTTTTGAATAACGCTTCCTTTGCTCTCGCCCAACGCGCTGAATTATGTCGCGGACTGTGTCGTTTCAAGTTGTCATAGTTGTTTGTCTCGTGATGTGAGTTTGTCTACTGAGGTTAAGATGAGCTGTAAGTAATAGCCTGCCAGACCACCCCATCAATGGATGGCAGGAGGTAGACCACACTGGATGCAGATTCCAGGCTATGCTGTAAACTGTGTTCGCTAGAGATAGTAAACTCTTTATGTATCGTCACGAGGATTGTTTTTGTTTGCTTTATCGCCATGGCAATCTGTGTTTTAATAGTTACGTAAAGCAAAGTAATCGTGAGTAACTACAATTTTATACAGTAATTGTAGTTTTATTACAATTTTGAAGGCATATAACATGAAACATGATACACGATGTTCAGTAATTTGTCATTCATTGGTACACGATACAATGTGCCTTCTAACCTACACACCCCTCTATATCTATAAACCTATAACGAAGCATCGTAATGTACTTTACTTACACTTTGAGAATCGCTTGCATGTGCAAGACGCTTACTTCGGTTAGTGCACGATTTATTTTTCGGAAGTATAAAAATACATGGGTCAATTTCGAACCGATATAAAATGCAAACAATCTATGGACAATGATGAAATAAGATATAAGTTTACCTATAGCATTAACTACTGGAACTCCAGTGAGGGACTCATGTCAGTGCTGATTGGTTGCACTCGGCATGTAATCTCGTGTGCGCGCTCATGAAAACGGAGCATATGCAAGCTGTTGTGTCTAACGACGACATGTCTGCGAATACAGTGCACATCTCACGAATGTTCGCCTATTAGACGGCCAACAGATTACTGGAGGACACACAGAGATGTCTGCGTAACAGCAGACGACGTCACGTCTGAAGGGATACGACCCTCGCGCTCGCAAGTCGAATCATTAATCAGTCGTAGCCCGATGAAGAGGCAATCATTGACAATAATAAATAGTAACGAGTCCATCTTGACTCGTTGTTGTTAGATTGACCATCGACTTCACGGACACAATCTTTAAACATACACAATTTTTCGAGTTGAGAGCAACTACCGTACATGATGAGCTTTCTGAGGAAAAGGGCAAACCGCTCGGTGAAACGAGGGCAGGGAAAGAGTCGTCAGAAGGTCACACAGCGACCTCTGACCCATCAATAGGTCACACAGTGACCTCTGACCCATCACTAGGTCACACACTGACCTCTGACCCATCACTAGGTCACACACTGACCTCTGAGTCGTCACAAGATCATCACACAATGTCTTCTGGGTCATCAAAAGGTCACGCGATGACTTCCGAGTCACTCTCCAGGTAGTCTGGCAGCGGCTCTCCCGTCACTTTACTCCTGTGGATGATCGCCTTGTGGAAGGCCTTTCTCACGGCTTTACGCTCGGCTGCCTTCTTGGACTCGTTCAGCTTTGACTTGTCGACAGCATCTTCAATGCCCAGCAGCTCCAGCTTGTGTCTCGGCAACCACTGCCTGCAGAAGAACAGTCAAACGATGAACGAATATTTAAAAAAATGAAATTGAGAACAAAGCAAACACAAAACCATTCAGTAGTTTAACTAGTCAGTTTAGTCTACTAGTCACACTAGTAGTCATTTTATAGATGTAAATTGTTAGTCGTAGATTTAGTTTTGGTTATACAGAATACACAGGGACCACGCTTCACCTACCAGGTTCGCTTCATGTCGAAGAACAGCACTAGGAACACGTGGTCGGTGAACTTCCTCTGAAGATCCAGAACATCATCTGGCGGCACTGGGATCGGAACACCGTTGTGAAAGTAGCCTGTCTTTGGCATCTTGGGGTTAATTATCTGCAAAGAGGAATGATTAACTAGTAAATAGTTAGTGGTTAACTAGTGAATAATTACTTTTGAGAAAATTCCAAGTAGGCCTACGGTTTAGGCAAGTGCTCTTCCATTAAGTAACTATAAGTTATCTATAAAGTCTACATAACAGTAAATTAATTGTATGATAAATCCATTCATTTAACCTGTTAGCAACAGTTTCAACAACTGATGTAGATGTCTTTGCCAAGCTAAATAAATTTGTTTGAGTTTAATTTGTCACCAGGTGGCAGTTTGTGACAGGAGTTGAAAACCTTATTACCCAATTGGCAAGCCAGATTGGCTAAGTAGCTAACCAAGACCCCACTCAATCCAAGTTACCCCATTGTTCTGTCTGTACTTTCATTTCTCTCACATTTTTTTCGCTTAAACTGATAACTAACTCTGGGTACCAACTTGCAGTGAAAAAAATACACGGGGGCTCGGGGCGATTTAGCGAAATGCCAAAATGAGCCCCGGAAATGCCAAAAAGAGCCCCCATAAATTTGCATAGATTTCAATGCAAACCAAATTTTAGAGTGCTATTTTCATGCACGCGAGCTTAAAAAGTAGCCCCCGAAAAATACATTTTAATATTTTTCCTTGGTACCAAGGGCTATCACACCCCCACCCAACACAGTTTTCCCCATTATACAGCCCACCATTTCCTATCTCTAATAATTCTGGCTTAGAAGCATAGCTTTGCTCGATACCATCGTTAACCTCAGCCCCTACATGCCCTAATCAAATGAATATACCCTACTGTCCAGCCCACACCTTCCCGCTCTCGTATACAAATCCCCTGTTGCTTACCAGTGCTGGGTACCATGGGTAGCCCCTACACTTTGCCCACACCAGATCCAATGGTTCTAGTGGAATAGCATCAACGCTGTCCATCAGATGGCGCCTCTTCTTGCCTCCTTCACAGTTCACAGAGATTCAACATGTTATAAATTCGGACGCAACCACGTGCTTAGCAATATGCTGAAAGCAAACAGCCTAAATAGAAGTGTAGAATCAAAGAGCGATTGAGTCCACCAACTAGCTATGTACACTAACTTGGATGGAGTTCTTACAGCATGCATGGCAATGCACTGTGCTGTGCTTGTACATGGGCGGGATAAACCAAAGACGAATCATGGAAAGTTCTGCAGCGAATCATCAGACAGCTGGATTACGACAGCAGAGTGAAGTGAAGCTAATATCGTGCCTGCGACACACATTACAATTTTACAGTGCAAGTAATAGCACCTAACTGCCAGGCACATAATTATTTACCCATCCATTGAACTTTAAAAGGAAAGAAAGAGAGAGAGAGAGAGGGAGAAAGAGAGAGAGAAAGAGAAAGAGAGAAAGAGAGAGAGAGAGAGATAGAGAGAGAGAGAGAGAGAGGGAGCTACCTTTAAAAGCCACCCTTTCCATGAACACACCAGCGTTGATGATTTAAAGTTGAAAAGCATAAAGATCTGTGGTACTAGCCGTCTAACGATGGCAAGAAATTATGCAAGAAATTAACGATCCTGAAATATTTGGGTGCACACGAATCAACGAACCGCACAGAAAAAAGCGAGCGACGTTTAAATGCCTACCTAGCTGTAGCAACAACAGAAAATAATACGCAGCACAAGATATTACAGCGTGTGAATGAATGCATAGAGACAAAGCGTAAGTACATGGGGCACTATACTCACCATACACGTAACCCACACACGACGAGTTAATCCATAAAGCTTTAATGCTTGTTGCAGGGTTACGCATCATGAAGCTAAACACAGTGAGCAAATAGAACAAGCGAAAGTATCATAGCGAGGTGCTAGTCACCTCATAGCTGCATGTGGCACATGAAGAATTAAGCTGCATACAGTAAAGCAAAGTGCAGACCTGCGATTTCTGGTTGCTCGTCGCTGCAACCTGCAACCGCAAGCGATCGGTCGATGTGTCACTGCGTGTGCGCACACGTGCGATTTCGAAGCAATTCCAGAGCAATTTGGGAGCGATTGGGAGCGACGAGTCGCTCAAAATCAAACTATTTCTCGCGACTCGTCGCAAGCGACCAGAATCGCTACGGGTTGCAGTTGCACGTTCCCGCAGACGTAGCAATTTCACAGCAATTTTTACGGCGATTCTAGAATCGCTGGCGAGTTGCATGAATATATCGCAGGTCTGCGCTAGGCTTTAGAGTTTAGAGAATGCATGAGGCCTAACCGCCCGAGGCGCTAGTCGCCACGAAGCAGCGTGTGAATGCGCGGCGGGCGAAGCAGAAGCGTCAGTCAGCAGTACCTGAGGTGCTATCCCCACCACCGTGCAGCGAGTCAGTTGTATTACCACCTAGTTCGCCGTCGCTGTCGTCGGAGCTCAGGCTGGAGCTGGACAGGCTGCTACTGCTGCTGTCCGACATGCCATCCGACTCGGACGAACACTCGACAATCTCGTGCGTGCGGTAAGCCTGCAACGCGGACGATGCTGAGCTCAACGCAAGCGCACGAAAGCCACGACCCAACTCTACGCATGCTGTACATGTGCAGCAACTGGAGGCATGGTTAGTCTCAATAGGAATATATCTCATACTGTACACGTGTAGGAATAGGAAGAATGATTAGTCTCAATAAGATCTCATACTGTACACGTGTAAAAACAGGAGACATATGGATAGAGCTTCCGGAACTTTCCTGTGTTATCGTGGACACAGAGAGTCGCTACGCACCTGAAAGCTCTCCTTGATCACCGGTATCTCCGTCGCAATGTCACCAAATCCCATCGGCAGGGCAGGTTTCTTTGCCAGGGGAGGGTTCTCAACCCCTCCTCCTCCCCCTCCTCCTGCTGCTGTTCCCCCGCCGCTCGCGTTCCTCTTTCGAGCTGCAGGTTTCCCCGGCGACCGCGAACCCGGGGGCCACTGCTGCGGCAATGTCACGCCCTTGGCGTCGAACTTCGGTGACTTGGGAGCCTTCGGCGATTTCGGCTCTCGAAACGACTTCGGCGAGACAGGGCTGGTAAAGTGCTTCGGCGAGGCGGGTGCTGGGCTCAGCTTCGGACACTTGGGGACATCGTCTGCCTGGGAGGAGCTGGAGGCGGGCGAGTCCACCGTCGCCTCGCTGCTCTTCAACCTGCGAACACAGACACGCGTGTTCATGCACCCTCGCAGCCACTGAACCTCTCCTAGCCTCATAGCGTGCTGTAGTGGCCTCCACGGAATCCAACGCCCTCCCCTCCTCGTTCCCCCTAAACCGTCATTACTACCATGTCACAAATTAGCACTGCAAAATCTGTGCTAAAATTTTCATCGCTTTACGATGCGTGTTGCGATTCGTGTCTTGGCGTAGCACACAACTGCTATGAGCTCATATATTTTCAGCTTTTCCTGCAAGGCGTGTCATCCTTGTTTGTGATTTTTATTATGGCCTTAATCCTTATTTCACATAATTATTACTAAGAAGACTAGACGAGAGGAGCTAGCCCTACCTCGGCCGGCCAGGTCGCTTGTTCAGTCCCAAGTGGAGCACCTTCCTTGGACCAGACTTCTTGCCAAACAGTACGGCTGTGCGGCGGTTGACGCCCGGGGGTGGGGTTGGCGTGGTGGCGATGCTCTCTGCACCACTGCTGGCCTGTGAGGGCGTAGAGGGTAGGCATGTGCTCACTGCCACCTCCTTACCTGTGAGTTCACAAGGAGCGGCTAGAAGCAAACTCAACCACGAAACAAACGAGAGACTTTCGCTTATCCTTAGAGCATCCGTCGAATTGTGGGCGGACGACGCTGCGAATATCATAATTATTACTACTAATTATACTATTATACTTATTACTAATTAACGGTGAGTTAGCGACCGTACTGTGTCGTGTAAAGTGTGACATCTGCGTATAATTATATATATATATATATATTCCCTGACCCTATTTAACCAAGACACCAATGTCATCCTTGACACTGAGGGACAGCATGAGAAGAAGAAGAAGATATATATAATATATATCGTTCGTATAATGTTCAGTAAGCCGCCGCAGCATCGCGTTTGTCTCTGTGAATCACGCTCCGGCATCTCTCTCGGCAGCGACTCACCCGTGTCATCGCCCGCCTTCTGCGGGCGGCTCGGAGATTCGCTGCCCACCTCCCCCTCCGACTTCTCATGGAGCTTCTCCCTCCGTAGCGGAGGTCTCCCAGGCGGCCTCCCCCTCCCTCTCCCCCGCGCCTTGCCAGCAGGGGGCGCCGGCGAGGGGCACTCTTCCTGCGCGGCGGCGTCCGCCGCTTTTCTCGTCTCAGACTTGCGCGACGACGACGACGACGCGTCGGCCTTTCGCGACGGCATCTCCGTCTTGCGCAGCGACTCGGGTTTGCGCGCCGGCGATCTGGTGGGATGCGGCGGCGGCGGAGGCGGCGCTGGACACTCCTTGTCGCTGTCGTCAGAGGAGGAGACGGTGGAGGAGGTGCGGAGGCGGTCCCTTATGGCAACCTTCCTCCTCACCTCCTTGATCTCCCTCTTCAGTTGCTTCATGCGCTTGTGTCTGGCAGCTGTCAACGAACAGCAGGTGTTACAGACACACGGACAGACGGACGGGCGGGCGGGCAGACGGATGAACAGACAGAGAGACAGGCAGCGAGGCAGACATCAACCTGCAATGCAGATGTGTTAACTCCCAGCTGAGCGAAATTCTTGACTGCCTGAATATACTTGGATTTCAGCAACTCAATGGAGTGAGGTTATCACGCACGAAGGGTGATGCCATCTTTGATTATTGATGACACTTGCACGCGCCATCTCGCGGCAACTGCTTTTGCTATTAGAGCCAAACATCAATTATCCGAACATAATACTCCCCGCCCGTCTCGTTCGGAGAATCGAGGTCTTAGCATGTTAGTAGTCAGTTACATAGAACCATGATGTCAATGACAACTGAGGTGGGTGTGCTGTTTCAGCACCGTTCATGCTACCACCTCTCATGGACGAGGTACCTCTGGAGATGACGGCAGAATCCATCACAGAGGTTATGAGGAACCCATCAAAAGTCGTTCTGCTGAAGGTGATCTATTTGGCTATGTAGAGGCTTTCTCTGACTCGCCGTGAATGAAATGTTAGATTGCCGGTAATCTCCACTGGGTTGCCAATTCTACTGTACACAGGTACAGTTGTGTGTGATGGCAGAGACGTAGTATCTGTGTAGAACTTGGCCTGACGTGGCTCCCCAGTTTACTATATGCTGAGTTCAGATTTATAGTACAAATTCAGAATTAGATTCATTTTAACAGGAATAAATAATCACAAATCACAAATGTAAGAATAAAAAATATCAAAAATGGTAAAAAAAATAAAAAATAATCACGATTATTTACTCATGATTTTAACAATAAACGACACACATAAAAAAATAAGAACAAAATGGATGCCTAGTATGTTTAATTTAAACATGAGAGCAGGAATGTTTTTATAGTACTTTGCATGTCCATTATATGGGAATTGTATACAGTGACTGCATGCATACCATGTATCATTTTGGTGTGCCCGTGTGTACGTAGCAATTATATAATTGTTACATACACACAGGCACACCAAAATGATACATGGTATATATTCGTTAAGGTACGCATTTGGTTGATAAGGTTGGTGTGGTTGCAGAATATGGTAGGACCCGGAGAAGTGGATGAAGATTTGGAACCAGAAACAGCAGAAGAAGCGGCCAAATATGGCAAAGTGATCAAGTGTTTAATTTTTGAGGTATGTACCATCAGTTAGCACTACTAGAGTTTTATGTGAAGGAGATTGTGGAAATATGGGGGAGTGGTGCCCACCCTAAATTTTAAACAGGCCTTTAGACAAATTTAACAGGCCCTGTTTGCTTAATTGTGTTCAATTTATTCCATTATTAATAAAAGTATTAGCTTTGTGTTTATTAGGCATACTCATAGTATTTCAGTATTTCATTGCTATCAGTGGAGTTCTACTTGTTTGACAGGAATTGCTGGAACACGATTTACTTCTTAGTAGTCTCTGAGTAAAAACTAGTCAGGAAATTGGTAAATATTGTTGATATAAAGGCAAGATAGGCAAAATTCTGAATAGGCCAAGTGGACTGAATATATGGGTGGTTGAACCGGCGGTTTAGGGGGTTGAACCGGCGGCCGTCGGCAAAATAGCGCTAAATTCGCACACTGCTGTCACGCGCTTCCGTCACTGGTTCCCTTAGGGTCAGGCTGCTCAGTGCTGTGTGGTGCATCAACTGCAAGTTCAAGAGCTCGTGACCAGCTTATGCCGCCCTGTGTTAATAATTGCACGAGTAATGCGACTCACGCACTGCACACACACACGCACGCGCACACACTCACACGCGCACGCACTCACATGCACACGCACTCACACACACACTCACACGCACACGCACACGCACACACACACACACACACGCACACTCACACGCACACACACACTAACACGTGCACACACTCACACGCACACGCACACGTGCACACACACACACGCGCACTCACACACATGCGCACGTGCACACACACACGCACAAGCGCACGTGCACACACACACACGCGCACACACACACATGCGCACGTGCACACACACACGCGCGCGCGCACACACACACACACATGCATGCGCACGTGCACACACACACACACACATGCATGCGCACGTGCACACACACACACACACACGCTGGCACAACGACAGCGCTACAGACACGTCAGTGCTAGAATAAGTGTGTGAGACCACGTACACTACAGTGGTGTCACCTTTACGCGAGGCTACAGCTGGCAAAGTCGCGGCCAAAGTCAGTCATGGTTGAATGTATGCATTCATGAGTACAAGCCATGCTAAGCTGGCACGTACACACCATCATTCAGCTCGCGCAAACTAACCTTCGATCGCGCGATCTTCTTTTTCCCCATCTAAGAAGCACGAAAATACCATTTAAGTCAGTAGTACAACCCAGGAACTGCAAACTCTCATACCAATTCCATTAAAACAACTGACTTCCCGAACTCCCACTCCATTCCCCAACCCTCCCCGAGGAAGAAATACATTGTGAGAGAATCATGAAACACCAGAGGGCACCACGTTGACCGACTGTCTCATTGATAGCGACGCTCTTGCCTCACGCTGCCAACAGGGGGCGCCGGGTAACGTACCTCGCTAAGCGGCACGGGGTCGGAGAATATGTGTC